ATTTTAAACAAGATTATTCTTCCACTTTAAAGGAGCCAGGAAAGGGGGGGGGCAGGAGGTTCCCAGTTTTGAGAAACAGGCAGGATCCAATCACATCAGTTCCATCCATATTGATTTGCGTGCCACTTGGGGGGGGGGTGTCTTTTAACCCCACTCCTCTTTTGCTGTTCTTCTTCCCACAAAATTATTGGCCTCGGTTCAAGGATGCACTGAGGTGGCCTCATTCTCGTTTCAGGCAAAATAATCCGAGGGATTAAGGCAGCAGCTTTAAAAGATATCAACAAAACCATGAAAAGAGGCAAAACCCAATTTAAGTTTGCTCAACACTGCGTGGGTGTTTTTACTGCCTTGTTGTCATTTTTCCAGTTCAATATTAAACAATTAAACCCTCCAATTGACTTTTTAATCCATTATTTTGCTGCTGCTTTGATTTTTTTTTTTTAATTAATGGGTATGGTTATCGGGCCAGATGGGATGTACGGAGCCCGGCGAGTCAGCACAGTGCAATGGCTGGGGAAATTTCATATCCTTATCATTGTTGTTGGCAACCAATTCCCATCATCCCTGACCATGATGGGAATCGTAGTCTGTGTGAACATCTGGGCAGCCACAATTTAAACACCTTTAGGTCAGAGTGCTGGGAAGGGCCTGGATTTAAATCCCCTATTGTCCCTAAAATGGACTAGTTTAACTTAGCTCGAGGAATCTTTCTCAGATGAATCTACCTCACAGGACTGTTGTTGGGATGAAAATGGGAAGGAAGGTCACATATCATGCCTTGAACTCCACAGACAAAATGCATAATTAAAAATATAATAAAAGGCATCTGAAATAGTCCATACACCTCAAGGAATCAACACCTGAGCTGATTCCTTGGTACTCTAAGTGGGAGCAAAAGTAGCATTTCTTCCCCGTTGCATTGTGTGTGTGTTTTTTAAATTAACATTCTTGTGCTTAAAATGGTTCACTGTTGTTCTTATCTTGCTTCAACAGGGTGTCTTACACTGAGGCAAGATCCTCTGAATGTGCTTATCAGCACTATGAACCAGAATGTAGAGAAGTTACTTTGGGGACTACGACTTCCAGAATCCACCAGCCAGATCTTTTTCTGAGCTGGGCACAGAGATGGGAATGGCACCTCTAAGAAGCAACCAAAAATGACCAAGGTGAAAGGGTAGCACACCAGCTATCTTGTGTAGGACCAAACACAAGTGAATCTTCTCCCAGTTTTCTAGAATGAGACCTTTCCGATGCTGATTGCAGGATTCTGGAAACTGTGTTATAATAATCATCTTAGAATTGCAGGGCTAGAAAGGACCCTATATAGATCATCCAGTCCAGCCCCTGTTCAAAAAGGCCCGGAGGGGAATCGAACTCTCACCTATGCAGCAATTCTATAGTCCTCAAAGTAACTTTTACAAGAGCAGATAATAATCCATTTAAGGAATGCCCTCTAACCTAGAAGGTGCCCGTTCTGACAGCAGTCTAGCACCAGGGAAGTGCAATGCTTCCTTGCCCATCACCTCCTTTCCAGTGTGTCAAACTTCCAAATTTTTGTGACGTACATTTTTGTGCTCTTGCTGTGACCTGATATTAGAGGCCATCACTTCATCTGTCTCATGGCACTTGGACAAATCTAACCTGCAAGAAGAAGAAGAATTACTTTTTGGAACAAGAAAAGGCAGGAGGAAAAGACAGGCTAATTCTCTCTCTTTTTTTTTCCCCAGATGAGTGACACCTTTTATTTGCACCAGTATATTACAAAATGACAAAGGGGAAGCTGGGGTGTTGTGGGTGGGGGCCAGGAAGGGGACAAAGAGTGGACTCCAAACAGGTGGTCTTGAAGGTTGAAACCTCGGGCGTGGAGGACAGTGGATTGGGGCCCCCGGAGTGGAGGACCTGGGCGTACAAAGGGCATCACCTTGGCTTGCACACGAGATGAAACAGCGACCAGACAGGAAGAGCAGGGAGAGGAAGGCAGAAAAAAATAGGCCAAGGAAGTTCATACACCAGCACTGGAATATGTAAAGCTGACGTGGTTGGCATCCTCGCCCGAAGACCCAAGTAGAGTCTTCCTCTCGTCAAGGCCTGGTGTCTTCCTCATGTGCGTGTGGGTACGAAAGAGTGAACACGTGTGACACTGCCGTATGTCTTCAGATTGCACCGTCCAAGTTGTTGGCTCAGTGGAGGTGCCATCATCAATCAAGGGAGGAAGAGGCCGGCCTTGCGGTCATGAGGCTGGCTGGAGGTGGTGTAGATGTTCACAGCTGGCTCACAGAGGCCTCCCCGATGCCCTGAGAAAAAGTTGGGGGGGCGGGTGGCAGCGAGGATGGCCACCGGCCCATTGCTGGGGACCAGGGTGGGCTCGCCTCTCACCAGTGCCAACTCTACATGAAGCTCTTGTAGGTTCATATCCTTTTCCGGGACGGTGACTTTGGCCCAGCTGGATGTTCACAGAATGGTGGACCAGCTTCTGGCTGGGGGGTCATCTCGGTCCCTTCAGGTGGGCCACTTTGGCCCAGCTGGATGTTCACAGAATGGTGGACCAGCTTCTGGCTGGGGGGGGTCATCTCGATCCCTTCAGCTGGGCTTCTGTGTTTCTTATGTGTCAACAGATCCCCAGATTGATGTGATCCAGGCACCCCAAGGGGGATCAGAGTCCAGGCTGTGGGTCAATAATTACATCAATGACAAAGGTCTTTAGGTTCCCAAGAAAAACAAATCTGCAGACCCAGCTGGATCTGGTTGAGAGCTTAGGGACGCCTGCTACCTTCCTCTGGCTCCCTAGGAAGCTGTCAGGGCCAAAGTGCCCCCCCGCCCTATCTCAAAGCTCCCCACTGCAAAAGGGAATGGGGCAGCTCAAATTCCACCAACCCATCCATCGTACATCAAGGGATGCTGACGTAGACTTTCTCCAGTCAGTTTTTCCCCCTTCTTGATGCCCATTCCTGACCCCAAAACACCCTACTTTGCTATCATTTAAACTGAATTATACAGTAAATCCCATTATTAGCATAACTATATAAGGTGTTCACATATCTGGAGGGCACAACCCCAACCCACCTGGGATGGGACATGGTGGCAACCCCCTCTGTTTACAAGCAGAGGCATGTCCATACTTGACGCCGTTTATAGCCCTTGACTCCCTTCTTGAGGATGCTGGGCTGTGTAGTTTGCTGAGGGGGGTACAGAGCCTTCTCAGCTGAAGAGGTCACATCCCTTCCTCTGAATTATGGCAGAAGCTAAGCAGCCCCTCCAGGAACTACTACTACCAGGGTTCCTGAGGAGGAAGCCATGACGGTTAAAGGGGTGGTCAAATGGAGAGAACTGCCCCGTGTGGACCCCTTCATTGAAATCAAACTAGGCTAAAGTTAAGTTTGATCCTGCCTGGTTGCTTTGTCTTCTTAACACACTCCCCCCTTTTCTTTCTTTTTGCTCTTGAGTCAGATGCAACTGGAAGAAACAGAAAATGGTCTTGCAAACATTAATAGACCAGCATAGAGACAGAAGGAATCAAGTCTATTCTCCCTCCCAGCTTATTTCCATTTGTCATTTTGGTGGCAGGGGTGTGGGTCCTGATGGGTAAGGGCGGCAAACCTTAATCCTTCAAAAAATCCAACCCTCCCAAGCCTGCCTTTGTGGCCTGGCATTGATCCTGTTTATAGATGAAACCAAGCCTCCCAAACCTCATATAATCTGGTTATATTGCCCTTTGCTTTTATCTCACTATCTCAATTTTAAGAGTGGCTGTTCCAGAATTCCTGGAATAGCTCCCCAATTTTGATTGCCAAGGTTGAACCTCTCGGTCTTTGAGACGCCACAAGATTCTTTGATCCATTTTGAGGCAGAGGTTCCTTCAATTTCAGCCTCTGGAGGCAGGACCGGGGGGGGGGAGCAGGCATTGTGAGGCTCTGCTCTGTACCTCTAGTAGGGTGCAAAGCTCTTGGTACTGTTCAAACCTTGCAAAACGTCCCCCAGGCCCACCACCATCACCACCACAACAAAATGAAAACAAACTCCAGCAACCTGGATTTGCAAAGGAGTCCTGGATGGAAGATGGTTTATCCGGGAGATAAAGCGGGTGGGAGAAAATTTAGACCAAGAACACAAGGATGGGGAAGGAGCAGGGAAGGCTGTTGTTAAACACTGGGAGGGTGCTTTCTTAAAAAAGCAGGATGATGGAGAAATGTGTTCTAAAAGTCCACCTTCCAGCACCTCAGGTTTCTCCATTTTTAAACTTTTGCAGTCAGGAAGCTGGTTTGGAAGGTTTTCCTTCCAAATGAAGTTTAAGGATCCACATGGATAGAAATGTTCCTCACCCCTTCAACTATTTTGCTCCAGATTGCTGGCTGTGGTTTTTAAATGCCTCTTTGCACCTCTTAAGTTACACCCCTGCCTGCTTTTCTGCCTTACTCCCCTTTTCTTTGGCCTCATCCTGAGTTTCTTAGCCCATTCCTGCTCTGGAGGGGTACCCCGGCCTCCTCTGAGGCCTGTCTTTTCCCATTTCCTCAGTCTCTGATCACTTATATATATTGGCAAGGCTCGCTCTCTCGTCCACTTCTGCATTTAGGTGCGAGGACATGTATCTCCTTTTTTAAAAAATCTCAGCAACTCCAGGTATGAGTTGAAGCCACTCAGTGAAATCTAAGCTCTTCTCAGATGCCAGCATTACAGTCTGGAGAAGCAGCTACTAAAGCATTAATAAAAATTATAGGATGACTAGAATCCAACCATCTTTCTGACAGCTTTCAAAGCTAATGCCCCAGCCTTAGTAGAAGCAGTTCAGGAAACCAGACGGCCGCAGGCGACAGATGCTCCGTCTTGGAGATGAAAACAGTTTCCAGTGCCTGGATCCCTCGGAGGAGAAACGTGGCTTGATTCCTGTTGTGCAGAAATAAGAGACGGATGGGTTTCTGAAGCAGAGGGTGGAAAAAGCCTGTTCCCTGACAATATTTATGCTTTTGTTGTACAAGGATCCTGTCACTGATATTCTTTTTTTTAAAAAAAAACACCCTTCAGGAACCAAATTCTTGAAAGGGCTTTGGAAATCTTCAAGGTCGCTGAATTCCAAAAGGTCTCCAAATCTCTTAAAAATATGCCAAGAATTAAACAGCCTCTTTGCTTGACGGATGGGGTTTTGCTCTTCTCCAGACATGGCCCTCCACCATAGAAGGGGTTCCCTTAGATAACAGAAATGGGTCTGGTTCCTTGAAAAGGGTGTAGATACTGAGAAACATCCCCATTTTTATTCTGCAGACCTCTTTCTCTTTTTTAAAAAAGGGTTTTCCAGATTTTTTTTTTAATTTTGAGACTTGAAAATGGTTTCTCATGATCCACAAAACAAAAATAAACTTTAAAATAAAAAAGAGAGGGAAGGGTCACAAGTTCATTTTACTCTAATAAATATAATATTCTCCAGCTGTCCCATTTATGGAAAAAAGAAGAAGAGAAGAAGGGTGTTAAATGGAACAGAACCGGCAGCTTGGTGTCGTTGGATTTATTATATACCCTTTTCCACACCATGCTGCCTTTATTTTCCCCCCAGTCACTTGAAATTAGAGAAAGAGATGGGGGGGGGAGGGAAATCCAAAACCCAAGAGAGGTCCAAACAGCATGTCTCGTTAAGAAAACAAAAATCTAAAAACCACTTTAAACCTAAGAACCTGTGGAACCGAAAAGGGAACCGAAGAGGCAGAGCCGAGGTGTCCAGGTGGGAGTGATGGAGGGGGGGGAAGGATAGTCCTGGTCGGCTGCGCGGTTGAGGGCTGGGCCAAAGCAGGCCCTCTATTACATGACCGAGCAGCATTTGCAGCGTTGTTTCTTTGTGTCAGGATCTTGCTCGCCCCCTTTGGGCTCAGTGTCGTTGGCCGACGGCTGCTCCCCCGGCCGGCTCTCCTGCTTCTGGGGCATGGCCGTCACCGGATCCGTGGCAGCACTGCCGTTGGGTGGGGCGTGGTCCTTCCCCGTGGAACCGGCTCCCGGCTTGTTCTCGGCATCTTCAATCACCACCAGCTCGGCCTTGATGGTCCCCTCGAGTCCCAGTACCTTCTTGGTCTCATTCTCGTCTTCCACATTTTGGTACCCCATGAAGATCATGGTGACCGGCTGCTCGTGGCTGGGCTCCGGCCCTGAAGCCAAGAGCTTGGGGCTCTCCACGGGTTTGGCCTGGACACCAGTTATTTCCTTCCGGGGGGTCACCTTCTGGCTTGGGGGGTTGCTCTTTTTGGCCTCTTCTCCATCCTTGACCCTCTCCGAGGCTTCACTCAGGGTCACCTCGTCGGCTTTGTGGATAAGCTCATCCACCTCCGAGGAGCTGAGCTGGTGGAGGCCGTTCTCCAGGGCCCCATCTTCTGCACGGACCGCGTGGACCACTGCAAGGAGAGGCAGAGAGGAAATACCGTGAGGATCAGCAGCATGACAGCCCCAAAACTATTTGATTTCGGAATGGGTCAACGGGCGGATGCCACTCCTTTCCTTCGTCTTCAAACCTTCCCCCAGACAGACTTGCTGAACGTGGCTTCAAATTTTTATTACCAGCACCTACAGGACCCAGACATGATGTTCAAAATTTACAAACTGTAACAAGACATCCACTCGTGGAGCTGGTCTGGGGTGTTTGGGGGAAAGCTGTGAGCTGGGGTGACAGGGAGCTGCCAACCTGTTTTTCTTTCTTTCTTTTTTTCTTTTGCCAAAACAACTCTTCTTGGGAAGTCTCTGAGAACGGAAAAACCTGTTTCCCCCCAAACTCATTTTTTCAAGTCGCACGGGAAGCTCTCATCTGTCCACGAGCCCCCTCTAACCAGAGTTCAACAGCCCCAGAGATACTTTCCCCCCTCAAAACATTGCGTTGATAAAGTAGCGTAGCACTAGAATGCCTCTGCACAGACAAAATGAATAAAAATCCATATGAAATAGAAACTACCTTGACCAACTGACTATTTTTCCGCAGTATCATGGAGAACTTTGCAAACAGCCCCTTGCGGGCTCAAAGGAAGGGGGCCTGTGGGCTGTGGCGTGGATCAGACCGGATCAGACCGAGGGGCCGGCGTGGACACTGGACTCTTTGACAGGGGCTGGACTCAATGATCCATGGGGTCCCTTCTAGTTCCAAGATGATGATGATGATGATTATAAAACAATCCACAGTCTCTATTCTCAACAGAAGTATAAAACAGGCTGTGAATCAAGCCACAACTCTCTAGTTTGGCTTGCTGGTGTCCTGGCAGCCTCATCTGGGGCTAGACATCTTCCACCTTCTATTCACGGACACAGGGAGCAGAGAGTGAGGAGGGAGAGGATGAGGCCACAGAGTCTGAATTTGGTTGCTGTTCTGAGGTGGAGAAAGGGGGCAAAGAAGCCTTTAGCACGAGTCACAAGGGTGGCTGCCTATAAAAGCAGCTGATGGTGTGAGGAGTGAGGCCTCTGGTGCAGGACAGGATCGGGGCCCTCGGGGCCCCCAGCTACCTGTCCACCTGACTGGCAGCACGAAGCACCCGCCTCTGGTCATGATGGAGAACCGGGGTGGGCTGGATGATGACAAGGGGACACCCCTTCTCTGACCCAGGGAGAAAAGCCTCAGTCATTGTCCACACGGGGAGAGAAAGGTTCCCTGAGGAGGACTTTGCCTGGGGAGAGAAGCCTTTGGCCGTTGTAGCCTTCTGTTTATGGCCTATATCTGAAATCTAATTGCTCTCTGCAGTACCAATCTCTCTTTTTAAGGGTCAAACTGCACATCCGGTGTATGCATATTCCTTAAAATTGACCTGTTTCCATTCCTACCATGGGATTTCCTGAGATACATGGGCCTCCTCAATCAGATATGCAATTGCAGCACAACCAATCACAAAAAAGTGAGGAAAAGCATGTGTCAGGACAAACAGATGCCTTTCTGGTCTTCAAAGAGCACCACTTTTACATCTGGGCTAGGTACATTGCCTAGTTCAGCCTGAACTCATAGCCTGGTAGTCACGACGGGCCGTGGTGTAATTGCAGGAAGCTTATCTTTGCCTTACAGGTCTTCCTGCAGGGTGCGCGTGCGTGTGCGCATGTGTCTGTCCGTACCTTTCATTTCATCCTCGTACACCTTGACCCCATGAACCGAGCGGTCTCGGGGTAGCCTAGTGGTGCTGGAAAGGACTTTGGTCTCCCCCGTCACTTTGTCCTTCTCCACCGTGATCTCCACAGAGTACATAGCTGGGACATAAATAGGACAGTGAGCTCTGGAGCCCTCCAAAAGGGGGTACCCCCTCCATCTCCCCCATGGCGCCCATGCATGGCCCAAGCTCAGGTGTGAAGCAGAGGGTCGGGAGGTGCAGCCACAAGGAGTTAGGGTGGTAGTGCCCGGGGAATAAGCTCCCAAAGAGGTGCAAGAAAGAAGCAATGCACGGGGCGGGCAGGCACCAGCAGGGAAGCCCGCTTCTCCAAAGCATCATGTGCACAAGACATGAAGGATGCTTTTCCTGCATTCCCTGCTCTTCTCGATTCAGACTATCTTGCCAGAACAGGATGCCTGGAACGGGAATTTCTAAGCAAGACATTATCCACCTCTGGCTGAGAGCCGGGCACACTGCGTCATTCCTTCTCGCCAAGGCCCCCCCGTCATTTGCTCCTGGCAATAGCCTCACAAATAGCCTCACAATAGCCTTTCCTGGGGGAAGTAGAGTGTGCAGGCACAGCAGGCAGAGAAAAGACCGGATAATCGTTAAAAGGAGGCCAGCAATTCCTCCCCCCTTGAGGGGGCTAACCCTCAAAAGGCCATGCTCCAAAGCAGCAGCTACCGCCATTTCGTGCAACTGGAATCGTTTCCCCTTTATTTGCACACGCACAAAAAAAAATTCTCGTTGTGCAGAGACAGGAATTTTATCAAAATTCAAAACTCTGCAATATGAGGTCTCTGAGGCCCCTTCCAGCTGAATGGTCCTTCTGGAAAGCACCACAGACCAGACATATAGAAGGATAGCCCTCTCTTGCTGCAACCCCTTTGCAAGTTGATATTCAGAAATAAACTGCTTCTGAAGCTGGAGACTCCATTTAGCTATCTATCATGGCTTTCTGGCACTTATTTCTGCCAGGAAGTTGCCTATTTTTCCCCTAAAGCCATCCATGCCAACAGTCTGGAACAAGTCAATTATGTAATTCTAATAATCTATGTATAATGCAACTCCTGAAGTGCTGGGAATATAGGATTAAGTCAGAAGAGAGGAAAAAAAGATGTTACCCCCTGCTTTTACATGTTGCACAGATAATTCACCCAGAAGCAATCATTCCATTAGGTATATATATTTTACAATAACACTAATCTTAGCTGTCCGATTAATACGGCAACTGACATGGCAGGAAGAAGTAAATGGTAAAGGATGGTTGATCAACAGCCCCTCTCTCCCTGTGCTTCTTTGCTTGGAAGTCAGTTCTGTTGAAAGAAATCTCATTGGAAGAAAAGGGATTAAAATGCAGGTCACCTCGAGCTGCTAAACAGACAAACAGCAGCCAACAGGATGAAACTGAGAGGCTCTCTTCCTCTGGGCACCTCATGAGAAGGCAAGATTCTCTGGAAAAGAGAACCATGCTGGGAAAAGTGGGAAGGCAGCAGGAAAAGAGGAAGAGCACACAGGAGATAGACAGACTCTCTCAAGGAAACCACGACTTTTGAGTTTGCAAGAGCTGAGCAGGGCTATTGAGGAAAGGACATTTTGGAGAGCGCTCCTTCAAGGGGTTGCCATAAGTCAGAAAACGACTGGATGGCTTCATGTACAGAAGCTCCGCGGATATTGACAAGAGGTACACTTTCAAAAGTGTGTTAAGCGATGCAGGCTATTTTTACTCCATCGATTCACAGCCCTGTGGTAGGGGCTTCTCAGATACATATGTGTCAAGGGGGAGAGAAACAGCAAGGCGGTGCCTCTAAATGAGGCTTGCGCCCGGGGCATGGAAACAGATTGAGCGGGCCCGCACTCGTGGGAGGGTTCAGAGCGTGGCAGAACAACAGTGGCTCATGGGTCATGCTGCTTGTCTAGGCAGGGCACAACATTCGCCATCCTGGCCCGTCCCCCAACGCTTGGCCGTGAGTTGTTCCTTTGACCTTGGAAAGGCCACTCAGGACTGGGCATCGAGACTAAAGCTGTTGTGATTGGGGGGGGGGAGAGAGAAGAAGAGAAGGTCTTTTTTTGGAGGGGGAGAAATCAGGTTAGAACTCACTCGCTTCTCCTCCCAAAAAGGCCGGCTTCTATGGGGACTGGCCTCCTAGAGGGGAGCCCAGGATTCATTGGCAGCTTTGACAGATCACTCAGCCAGCAATTCTTTTCTGAAATGCTGAAAAGTTTTACCTTCCATAATTATTTTTCAAGTGGCCGTGGATTTCTCACGTGGCTTAAAATTCACCACAGTGAGCACATCAGCCCCACAGCAAGAGCTGGAAAGAGTCGAAACCACTATTTCAGAAATTTCAGACCCCTTATTTTATCACCTGCCTAATTTAACCTAGAGAAGTTTGGGAAACTTAGCCTTTCAGTTTGGAGGAGCTAATGAAGTTCAAAAAACAAACCTAACTTTTTGACGTCTTGCATTAGTAACTTCCATTTGAAATTCGTTATGCCTGATTATTTTTTTAAAACTTCCCCATGAGGTCCAGGGCTTTGCATAATGCAAACCTAATAATCTAAAGCTACTAGTTAGATTCAGCCATTAGAATAACACAATGCAAATCTATTTCATTTTAAATTAGATTCTTCATTTGGAAACACACTAAGCTTCTTCCCATTAGATTCTGCAGTGACTAGACCAAAATGCAATGGTGCAGGAAATGCACTCTGCACACGTTCAGAAACACTGACCCCAACATTTTTAAATCAGGCCATGGGACAGAGGGCAAGCCATTTCCCAGCACCAGGATTGCCCTAGCAATCTTGGAATCCTTTGTTTAAAAAATCTCTTTTCAAATCAGGCACTGTCTGGAAGCAAGCAGCCGGTGGCACCAGGCCCTCCCCCAAAGCAGTTAGCATAGCACCGTCCCCTTTGCGGGTGCAGACGTGGGAGTGGGGGTCTGGGGGGGTCCCCCAGAAGGTTAGTGCCTTGGCGAGAGCAGGCAAAGCAGCATGCTGGGATGGCTGATGCCCCAAGGCGCCAGCCCTCCGAGGTGGGACAAAGAAAGTCCACTCACCTGCTTTCATCATGCCTCCTCCACCTTCTGCCACTTTCATGGGACTGTTGGCAATCTTGCTGTCTGCTTTGGAGGGAGAAGGAGGAGGAGAGAAAAAGAGAGGGAGGCTAAGGCCGGGAAGAGGAATCCACCTCAACCCACTCTGCCTCTTTTCGTCACAGGTGGGACTTGCCTCCCCTCCTTGTGGGTTGTCCTGCCCAGACCCGATCACAGAGTCCTAGAGATGCTGCAGGGCTTCAGCCTGACCTGGAGACACTTTGTCCAATGGGCCGTCCGTATCCATGGGGGGGGGGTCAAATCCAAGTCCCCCTGCGGAGGCTGAAAAATGTGGATTAGAGCAAACACTCGACATGGCATGGTATCTGGGTCCTTCTAGTGACCAGCTCTGGTAACTTCACCTTTAAGAACAGCCTATATTTCTAGGATTTTTCGTTTACTATGTTTAATATTTTCATCCTCTTAGAACTGCAGAGCTGAAGGGGATCATTGAGTCCAGCAGCCCCTTTCAAAGAGGCGTTCGTTCGTTCGTTTAGTCGTGTCCGACTCTTCGTGACCCCATGGACCAGAGCACGCCAGGCCCTCCTATCTTCCACTGCCTCCCGGAGTTGTGTCAAATTCATGTTGGTTGCTTCGCAGACACTGTCCAGCCATCTCATCCTCGGTCGTCCCCTTCTCCTCTTGCCGTCACACTTTCCTAACATAAAGGTTTTTTCCAAGGAGTCTTCTTTTCTCATGAGATGGCCAAAGTACTGGAGCCTCACTTCAGGATCTGTCCTTCCAGTGAGCACTCAGGGTTGATTTCCTTTGGAACTGATAGGTTTGTTCTCCTTGCAGTCCAGGGGATTCTCAAGAGTCTCCTCCAGCACCACAATTCAAAGGCATCAATTCTTCGGCGGTCTGCTTTCTTTATGGTCCAGCTCTCACTTCCATACATCATGACAGGAAAAACCATAGCTTTGACTATTCGGACTATTGTTGGCAAGGTGATGTCTCTGCTTTTTAAGATGCTGTCAAGATTTGTCATCGCTTTCCTCCCAAGAAGCAGGTGTCTTTTAATTTTGTGGCTGCTGTCTTCATCTGCAGTGATCATGGAGCCCAGGAAAATAAAATCTGTCACTGCCTCCATGTCTTCCCCTTCTATTTCCCATGAAATAGGGACCAGTGGCCATGATCTTAGTTTTTTAGATGTTGAGTTTCAGACCGTTTTTTGCACTCTCCTCTTTCACTCTCATTACAAGGTTCTTTAATTCCTCCTCACTTTCTGCCATCAGAGTGGTATCATCTGCATATCTGAGGTTGTTGATATTTCGTCCGGCAATCTTAATTCCAGCTTGGGATTCATCCAGTCCAGCCTTCCGCATGATGTATTCTGCATATAAGTTAAATAAGCTGGGGGACAATATACAGCCTTGTCGTACTCCTTTCCCAATTTTGAACCAATCAGTTGTTCCATGTCCAGTTCTAACTGTTGCTTCCTGTCCCACATATAGGTTTCTCAGGAGACAGATAAAGTGGTCAGGCACTCCCATTTCTTTAAGAACTTGCCATAGTTTGCTGTGGTCCACACAGTCAAAGGCTTTTGCATAGTCAATGAAGCAGAAGTAGATATCTTTCTGGAACTCTCTGGCTTTCTCCAAAATCCAGCGCAAGTTAGCAATTTGGTCTCTAGTTCCTCTGCCTCTTCGGAATCCAGCTTGTACTTCTGGGAGTTCTCGGTCCACATACTGCTGAAGCCTACCTTGCAGGATTTTGAGCGTAACCTTGCTAGCGTGTGAAATGAGTGCAATTGTGCGGTAGTTGGAGCATTCTTTGGCACTGCCTTTCTTTGGGATTGGGATGTAGACTGATCTTTTCCAATCCTCTGGCCACTGTTGGGTTTTCCAAACTTGCTGGCATATTGAATGTAGCACCTTAACAGCATCATCTTTCAAGATTTTAAATAGTTCAATTCAAAGAGGCACTGGGGGGGAAATTGAACTCCCAGCCTCTGGTTCCGCAGCCAGAGGCCTTAAACCACTGAGCCATCCGGTTTTCTCAGACTATGGATAAGCGAATCCATGGATAAGGGTCCTCGTGTACTGGCACCAAGACCTTCAGGAAGTTGAAGTGCCAAGGCTCTTTCCTTCTCAGGGGGACCCTAAGGTCCTTTGCATCACCCACCCCACCCTCCCTGGTCCCTCAGAGCAAAGCCACCGTCCTCAGGGTGATGAGATTGCACGTGGGGGGGGATTATGCTGTGCATTTCTGACTTAGGGCGACCCTGGGGTTGACCTCCCCAAGCTGATCTAATCAATAGCTGGGCTCTCCCTCTCTTGCAAACCTCAGGCTGTGGCTTCCTTTATCCAGTCAATCTGTCTTGTACTGGGGTCTCTGTTTTTTCCTGCTGGCTTCCCCTTTTCCCTCTTCATTGTCCTTCCTAGCAAATCTCAGTTTCATCATTTTGGCTTCCAGGGAGAGTTCAGATTTCATATGATCTGGAACTTGAGGCATGAATCAAAATCCAAGCCGATGCAACAGAGGGTATTCCCTGGAAGGCCTCCAGCGTCCCTTGAGCCCATGACATCCAGCACTCTGGGATGATTGAGAACAGATTCTATCCCTCTGTAGACTTCATTTCTCTCTCTCTCTCCTTAATATTCAACTATAATCATGCTTTGGCGCTTTCTCTTTTGACCCTCCTCTAGAATTGCTTCAAATCATGGCTATCCTCTGCCTGTATTATCCTCTGCCTACCTTAAACTATGGAGGTTTCCATAGAGTGATCTACTCCTTCTGTAATGCAAAGAATTTTGGAGGTCTCTCCTCCCAGACCAGGCCCTTAGGAGCTTAACAAAAGAGGTACCTCTGCTGGAGATGGAAACGGCCAGAACAAGTATGTTGACTTTGAGATAAAGGGCTTATCTCCAGCGCTTTCCCTTTGACTGTTGCCAGAAGAGAGGAAGCCCATTAGGCCACTTAAAACATGAAAAGAAAAACAGATGGCATGAAATTCGCTTCACCTACCTTTGGCTGAGCCTACGGGTGTCTGTGGAAAGAGAGAGCATACATCCGTTAGCCAGAGCCCCCCAAAATAATTATTTCATTAGGCAACCACATGTATATATTTTTTGGGGGGTGCCCATGAGTTTCTCAGCTTTCACATTCTGGGAAGCCCCACAAGTCTGTGCTTGTAGGGGGGGGGCAAAAAGATTTTCTTGAAAAGTAATGCATGACACTTAATGGATGTGAGAAAGCCACATGTAACACACACCCTGCACAAGCGCAGAGAGACTACCCTGAATCCTTGTCCTCCTCAGCACAACCCACATCTCCTGGAAAGATCTGCCACCCAGCCATCTGGAGCAAAAACCTAAGAGTCTTGTGACATCTAAAATATTCTTAGAACAGCAGAGCTGGAAGGGACCCCTAAGGATCATCAAGTCCACTCCCAACCCCTGCCTCCACAGCCAGATTTCTTAAACCACTGAGCTAATTATTTTGGCATTCATGGACTCCATCTCATTTCATAAAATGCCTCTTATGCCAGTTAGAAATACAGTACAGTAGGAACCCCCACCTGTATTTGCGGGGAAGCATTGCTACCCCCCCCCCACGGATGCTGAAAAATGCAGGTAATAGCAAACAGTGTTTTAGTAGCCAACGCTGTACATAGCATAGTCTCTATTTAGCTCTAGTGGCCAGTACTGGGAACTTCATCTTTGGAAATACACATTTCTAGGATTTTCCTTTTAATATTTTTAAAAATATTTCTAGGATTTTCCTTTTAATATTTTTAAAAATATTTTCAGACCATGGAAAAGTGAATCAGCGGATAGCGATCCCGTGGATACAGGGGTCCTACTGTAGATAAGTCTTCCAGGTGTCACAGGGCCCTTGGTTGTTTCTGTTCAAATAGGCAGACAGGGCTGCCTCTTCGTCAAGGTGGCTTCTGTGGGTACACCTCATTCCACACACACAACAGACCCACTAAGCAAGGGGGGGCAGGAAGCCCATCTGCTTCTGACCTTGGGCGTCTGGGGCAGCTTCTCCTCCCTGGCCACCACACGGGCCTCCTCGGCCACGTTCTCCTGGGTGGAAGAGGCGGAGATCCCGTTTTCCAGTAGCTCCAATTCTTTCTCTAACCTGGACCAAAAAAAAAAAGAAAAAAAAAAAGATCAGAGAGACTTGCAGCTTAATCCATTCAGGATCACCACCATCATCATCATCATCATCACTATCTTAGAAGAGCAGAGCTGGAAAGGACGCTTCATCATCATCATCATCACTATCTTAGAACAGCAGAGCTGGAAAGGACGCTATGGGTCATGGAGTCCAGCCCCTGTCCAGCCCCAGTGGGGGAATCAAACTCCCAACCTCTGGCTCTGCAACCAGAGCCTTAAACTCCTGGGCTA